CCCAGCCACGCAGCGAGGACACTGAAAGCGTCGTACCTTATTAGTGGAACTGAAGTAGCCCTAGAGTGAAGGCTGCTATAAACCTGCTCAAAGTACAAGAACAAATCTCAAAAAGGTCACGCTGATCTGCAAATGAGTTGTCTGCCAAAGCAGACTCCAACACTCTTTGCAGGTAGCCCCCAACAGCATGAACTTGACCATGTCCAGCACCCACCAGATGCGATTGGTCACAAGGTGAAGCTGGAAAATGTGACCCAGGGCCAGAAGAAAAATCAGTCAGTAGCAACAGACCTAGAAATAAGATCAGTGGTGAAACCAACAGATGATGACTTGAAAACAGCTGGTGTAAATATGTTTAAGTACTGAAAGGAAAATGTGAACATATGTAGGAACATCATGGAAGATCTAAAAAGAAACCAAATGGAAATCCTATAAATGACAATTGAAATTTCTGAAATGAAAAACTCCCTGAAAGGAGTGAGTGGTAGATAAGGTATTGCAGAGGAACAGTTGGGTGAACTTGAAGACATAACAATAGAAACTATTCAAATTAAAGCAAAGACAGGTAAAAAGTCTGAAAAATATGATAAGAGACTCACTGATCTGTGGATATAGATCTTTCTATCTATCCATCTGTCTAGGTTGGGATGGGGAGGCCAAGGGGATGGAAGAAGACTGAAAATATATGAAGAAGTCATGGCTAGAAAATGTCCAATTTTGATGAAAACTATAAACTCATGGAATCAAGGATCTCAATGAACCCCAGGCAGAATAAACACAATAGAAAGCTACCAAGTCCATCACAATCCAAATTCTGAGAAACAGTAATAAGAAGAAAATCTTAAAAGCAGCAAGAGGGGAAAAAACCCAGTAGGTACAGTGGATCAGAAGAATGACTGCAGCCTTCTCCTCTGAAACTACGCATACCAGAAGACTACAGAACAGCATCTGCAAAGAGCTGAAGGGAAAAATTGATCAAACAATTCTGTGCCGCAGCCCCCCACAACAAAAGCACCTTTCAGCAATGAAGACAAGACTAAAGGATGTAGCATTTCTTTTTAGGGTGATGAAGAATATCCCCAAATTGATTGTGTATTCGTAACTCTGAATGCACCAGCATACACAACCATTGAATTGTACACATTGAATGGTACGTGAATGTTATAGAGCATGTGACTAAAATAATGTCAACAGAGCTGTCACACACACACAGAAGGAGGGCAAAATACTTTGGTGGACCACGAACGCTAAGAGAATTTTTTGCCTGCAGACCTTCACTACAGTAAAGTCAAAGAATGTTTTGCAAATTGAAGAAAAATAATGTCAAAAGATATCAAGAAATTGCAAAAGCAAGCCATCAACTAGGGGATAATGTATATCTGATGAAGGACTAGTATCTATACCATATCAAGAACTTCTACAACTCAATCACAAGAAGACAAAAAAAACACCTCTTAAAAATGGGCAAGACTTTAACAGCTGCTCTGCAAAAATATATACGAATGACTAGTAAACACATGGAACAATGACTAAATTAGAACCACTACTCATCAGGAGGCTGCAAACTGAAACACAGTGAATACCATCAAACATCCTTTGGAATGACAAACACTGAGAAGAAGGATGATGTCAGGTGCTGATGAGATTGTGAAGCAGATGTGCAGTGGGATTCTCACACAACGCTGGTGGGAAGGCAGAGTGGTACAGCCTCTACAGAAAGCAGTTTGGCAGTTTCTTGTAAAGCTAGACACACAGTTAACATATGGCCCAGCAATTCCGCTCCTAGGAGTTTACCCAGAAGACACAAAAGCACATGACCACATGGACTTGTCAACAACCATTCTTAGCAGCTTCCTTTGTCACAGCCCCAAACTGGAAAGAACTCAAATGTCCTTCAATGTGAATGGAATACACGCTGTGGCCCACCCGTGCTAAGGAACCAACCTGCCTTGGCAATCAGAAAGAATGTGTGCAGCCACATGAGTGAATCTCAAAACCATGACACAAACAAGACATCAGAGACCACGTTCCATGTGGTTCCTTTCCTATGCAGTTCCAGAACACCAAGTCTGATCCCTGGGATGGAATGCTGACCATGGCTGCCTAGGGCCAGTTTTGGGGGCAGGGCATGATTGTAAGCAGTCCCAGCAGACTTCTTGCTGTGGACAGAATGTCCTGTATCGTGACTGTGGTGTGGGTTACATGAGTGTGTACATTTGTCAAAATAAACTTCAATTAAGTTTAAACTACTAGAATAATAGCCACCATTCATTCAGCCCCTTCTGGTCCCAGGCAGTATGTTAGAGCTTTCCATGCCATAGGTCTGATGGATAGATGGATGGATGGATGGATGGATGGATGGGTGGATGGATGGATGGGGGGATGGATGGGTGGATGGATGGGGGATGGATGGATGGATGGGGGATGGATGGATGGATGGGGGATGGATGGATGGATGGGTGGGTGGGTGGATAGATGGATGGGTGGACGGATGGATGGATGGATGGGGATGGATGGATGGATGGGTGGGTGGGTGGGTGGGTGGATGGATGAGTAACAGCTCTGTGACACAGGTGTTCTTAGCCCCACTTTACAGGTGAGAAACAGGAACTCAGAGAGGTTAAGTAACTTGCTCTGGGTTACACAGCTAAAGATCCACACAGAGCACATCCAGGAATGGTGAGGGACTCCCATTGGGAGTCTGTGTCCGAAGCCTCCCCCATCACCAAGACAGCTGCAAGACACTCAGAGGAAGGAAGGCAGACTACAGCAGTATCCAAGCAAGCACGATGCAGCACAAGGCTCCAAGGCCACCAGTGGGTCGAGGGCTGCAGGCTCGTCTCACATCTGGACGGCAGCCAGCTCAGCCTGTGTTTGTCCTCGGTCTCCAAGAGCCAGGACAGCTGGATGGGGCCAGGATCACATCTGCTAAATGGACCTAGGGTTCTGAACACCAGCCCCACAAAGTAGGGGTTACAGCAGGGCATTTGTTGGGGGAAGGCATGGCAGGCTTGTGGGTAGGAGAGCCCCTCTGGTTGCAGAGTTGGGACTGGACTGGGGCTGGAGTGACCCAGGCGGGCCCCATGAGGATGCCAGGCAGGGGAGGGCGGCTGAGCTAGGTCTCCTGGAGGCCCTGGGCTGCCCCGCCACCCCTCACCATGGCACCGTGATTCCGCCTGCTGGTGCAGGTGGGGAGACTGTGGCTAAGACGTCAGTGATCAGCCTGAGGTCGCACCTCAGCGCCTGGATGGAGAGGCCCAGCATCCTGGGCCTGTGGTCCCAGGGGAGGTGGTGGCGCAGTGTCTTGGATGGGGCTCCCCCGCGGGAAGAATGCAGGAAGGTGGTCCTGGCTGGTAATGTGCTGTCTCGTTTCAGGTTGCCCTTCCCGCCTGGGGACCGAGTGACCTTCAATGGGAAGGAATGCGTGTGTCAGAAGTGCTCCCTGCCCAAGTCAGCAGGCAGCAGCGTGCACCTGTCCCAGGGCCTCTGGAGTAAGTGGGCTCAGAGTGGCATGGTGGGGTGGCCTCTGCCGTGTCGGGAGGGGGCCTGACAACACGGCGACTCAAAGCAGAAGCGGTTGAATGAAGAGCTATGGATAAACATCACGCAGGGAACCGGGACCAGACATCTCTGGGTGCCCCTGCCTCTAAGCCTTTGCTCAGCTGTGCCCTCCTCCTCATGTGCTACTTCTGCTTTTACATCCAACTCCCACTCCTGATTGCAGTTCGGCTCTAGCCCACTTCCTCCTGGAAGTCTTCTGGCCTCCTTCTGGTCCTCTCCCTCCAGCACCCATACTCAGCTCCCCACAGTTAATTCCAGACCATCCAGGAGTCCTTTGGCAGAGCCCCTGGGAGAGCATTGATCTCTGGGCTCCTGTGACCTGGAACTCTCCAGTTAGCTGCTCCGCCCCCGGGAGCTGGGTCAGAGGGTGTATGCAGTGGGTGCTCAGTACATGCTTCTTGGATGAAAAGGGAGATTGTTAGTGGAAACGATCGGGCACCCGGGGAGTGCCCGCAGCTTGTGGATGTGGGCAGAGTGAGAGCGAGGCCGGGGCAGAAAGACACCTGCCTTCCCTCGAGAGGTGGCTCTTCCAGGACCAGAGATGGAGCTCAGGGGCCGGGAAGGAAGCCCAGTGCTCCAGGACCTGCTTCCACCAGGCTCCCACTGCAGAACAGGGTTTTCAGAGCCCACCCTGCATGCAAGGTTGCTGTGGTGTCCCCAGTGTCTCCTCCTGGGACAGAGGAGGGATTTCTACTGATTTCCAGAGCCAGCCTCTTGCTCATACTCAAGCCCCTCTCCTATGTTAAAACCTCCTTCCCACCTGCCCACCATGTCTGCTACACTGAAAATCTGTGCAGAGGAGATCGCACCTCCCACCTCCTAGGAGTCGAATGTTGGCCTCAGGGGCTGATAATACTTTCATCTGGAAATGAGGCAAGCTCACAACAGTTCCAGTTGGTGAAGTTGCGGCTTTGGAGCCTGCTAGGAGCGTCCTCCATTCAAACATTTCTCTCCAGCTGAGGTCTGGATTGATTGAATTTTTGAGAATTTGTTTCACAAACAGTAGCACTATTGTAATTAAATTGGAAGTAGTCATCAAAAACTATAACAAAATTTGCAAAGGTCAGGATAAGTTTGAACAGTTTGTCCAGAGCCTCCTGGCAGCCAAAGTAAAAAGGGAAATATGCCCAACCACAGACTTTTTGAAAATTTCAAGACTTTTTTAAAATGTCATGGGCAGAAAGGCTGCCCTTCCCAAATGGAAATTTATTTTAAAATATCAAATTTGTGTTTTTGAAGAACAAATATTCCACTGACCCCCAGATGGTCTAATAATATAATCTACCCCTTCTCCCCATCCACAGTGAGAATCCCCCACTTACAACCTTTTTTTGTGTCTAGAAATCATTAACATTCATCACTAGCTCTTGGCTTCTGTGTGAATGTCTACGGATTCTTCCCAACTCCTGCCTCCTTTTGTCCCCAGGGCAGCCCTGCCAGGCAGGAGTGCCCCCTCTTTGTACAGGAGTGTGAGTGCCCTGAGCCTGATGGGGAGGCGGTGGGTGTGCTGAGTGTGCAGTGTCCAGCTTGGGAGTGGTGGGGCTAAGGTTTGAGCCAAGGCCTTTAAACTCCAAAGCAGGAAGGGGGAGGGTGTAGCTGAGTGGTAGAGTGTGTGCTTAGCATGCACAACATCCTGGGATCAATCCCCGGTACTTCCCTTTAAAAAAATAATGAATAAAATAAATAAACCTAATTACCTTCTCGCCACCAAAAAAATAAACTCCAAAGCAGGGGAGCCTACCCTGCTGTGACCAGAGGCTTTCTGAGAAGGTGGCCTTTGTTCAGAAACTTGAAACACAGGTTTCAGTAAGTGGGCGTTGAAGGGAGCAAAGACTGGACACCTGTGGCCTGTGCTAGGGGCAGCTGTCATCCCCATGTGAGTGGACAGGGGGCTGCTGTGTGGGGGCAGGGAACAGAAGTGAAAAAGCCAGGTGGCAGAGCCAGGCCAGGGAGCTCCCAGTGCATCCTGGAGGCAATGAGGAGCCATAGATGGCTATTGGGGGAGGTAGTGCCAAGGCGGGTAGGCAGAGCTAGGAACACGAGCCTGAGCAGTGCGGTCTGCCTGGCAGGTGGTGGTGGCTGGGGGTGGCAAGCAGCCCCTCTTCCGCAGGGTGGGACGCTGCAGCTGGCCACCTTTGTGGGCTGCCTTCCCTGGGGGGTGGAGTGTGGCTGGCTGCTCCCGTGGCATCAAGCCTGGTGCCAGGGCCCTGAGCTTCCCTCTTCCACTCTCCAGCCTGAGCCTGTTGCTTAGCAACAGGATAAGCACTCCTTGCTGGATGCCCACGCCTTCCCCGAGGAGGGACACACCACTCCTTCCAGGTGACCAGCCCCTCCGTTCACAACCGAGCATTCCAGGCTGCTTCTGCCCTGGACTGCCTCCCCCCCTGCCCTGGGGGAGGGTCTTCTCCTAGAGAGCCCCCTTTGCTCCTGTTCAGGCTCGCCTTTTCAGGGCTCCTCCCTGACTCTCCAGCTCTGAACAAGTCACAGGGCTCAGAGAAGCCCAGCACCGTGCCAGTCTGGGGCAGCGAGAGTAGACCCCGCCACTCACCACCTGTGGGCCCTGGGCAAGCTAGGTCCCCTCTCTGGTCCTTGGGAATGGAGGTGGGGTCAGCAGTGGATGTGAGTGGTAGCCTGGAGGGGCAGCCTGGGGTGGGAGCAGCCGGAGCTGGGAACCTGGGGCCTTGGACGGGGAGCAGCTCTGTCTGAGATGAGGCACCCTTGTGGCCAGTGCTTGGACTTGGCTTCACCTGCTGGGGCCCAGCCCAGCCAGGATGGGGTCACACCCAGAACCTGGGGTGACACTTGGAGCCAGGACCTGGAGGCCCACCAGAGTTGGGAAGGAAGAGGCATGGCCCTCGCACCTGTGCCCTCCGCCGGGTGTACACCAATGGGGTGGGGTCCTCAGGTCTTCCCAGATGGGTTTCACCACCTGGGCTGTGACCCTGGGAACCTCTGTGGCTTCTGCCCGAGAGAGGTTGCTGTTCAGGTACCTGGGATTTGGGAACGGGACCTGAGCCCCAGCCCCCCTCTCAGTAGTGGGATGAGCCTTGCCTACGGTGAGGCTGTGAGGTTAAAGGAGAGGGTGGCATGGACAGATGCGGAGGGGCCGGGGCCTGTGGGAGGAGCAGGCACTCGGGCTGATCTGTGGGGCGCTGGAGCCCCCAGGAACCAATGTCTTTCCCGGCACCCCCACAACCACCACCTCCACCACCACCGCGCTGCAGGCAGGGTCGAGTCGCCAGTTCAGCATAGAGCCCAGTGTGTGGGGTACACTGGGACAGGTTTCATCTGTCCCGGCAGCTGCTTGCAGCTCCCCCTGCGGAGTCTGGGATGCTTGGAGAAATTGCAGGCCAAGCCCATATTGTCTAACACCTTCAAGTGTTAGAACCCGGTGTTCTTGTGTTCGCCCCAGAGCCCCCCTCCGCTCCCCAACCTGGTTAGATCTGTGGAGCAGGGGGGTGAGTGGGACCTGACCCTGCACCCCACCCCCACCCTGAGCTCACCACTGGGGCTCAGAGAGGCTACCTGGCACATCCCGGGTGTCTTGCAAGTTAGTGGCAGAGCCAGGCCTTGAACGCATGACTAGGTCTGCTACAGGAAGGTGCACTTGAGGGGAAACAGGGAAAGTGTTTGGAAGGCTCTAGAAGGGTCCTACGAGGGGAGGGCCCCAGGCTCATTCCCTGCTGCGATGGCAGAGCCAGGCCCTGGGCTCAGGCGTGAGTGGGCTGCAGGTTTGGCCCTTCCTGGTGACCTCTGCCCTAGGCAGTGGGAACACACTCTCTCAAGGACATCCCTGTCATTTGCAAAGTCATGCGAAGCTGTGCTGAGCTCCAGATGTGTTTAGAACATGCTGACTGCTGTTCCCATGACAACGGTCCTTGCACCTTGCTCTTGCCTCTGCGTTTACTGCTCACTGTTAGTGAGACTCTGCTCAGCGTTGACTGGAACCAGTCGGGGGGCTGTGGGCCAGGTGTGACGTCCACGTCCCCCCGCAGCTGCCAGTGGCAAATCACCCGGAGCCTGTCCCCTGGGGGAGAGCACGCTGCTGACACGCAGAGGGCAGAGTGGCAAAGTATCCGCCTCTCGCAAGGTCTTCCTCCTGCGACAGCAGCAGTCGTGATGAGAGTGTCCAGCCTCGCGTGCGCTGTTCTCTCTCTCACTGTTATCAAGCCCACCCTTCTCCCCCCGGACCTGGGCCCGCCAGCTCTCCTTAGCCAGCTGCGTGAGTCTGGTACTGTTCACAGCTCCGTAAATTGTGTTCCCATTTCAGTGGGCACAGAGAGGTGAAATGACTCGGCCACAGTCACACAGCTGGTGGGCGCAGCCTGGCTCCGAGGTCCGTGCTTCCAGCCACTCCTGAGGCCTGGCTCTGACCTGAGCTGAGATCCGGAGCAGGAGCTCGGGCAGAGGGCAGAGCGTCCTGTGTCCTAGGTGTGGCACAGGCAGCCACAGAAGACCCGGGGCAGGAGGGCTTCCTGGGAGAGGCGCCCTGGCAGGCGAGCACTCGGAGGGCATGGCGGGTGGGGGCTCCAGCCTCTCTCATGCGGCACAGTGAGTTTCAAAGTCCACCTGCCAACAGAAGAGGAAAGTGGGGCCACCCAGACCCACTGCCATCAGGCACCCTGCTGCCTAAGCCGCTCCCTTTCGGGGCAGCCCCCATGGCTGTCAGTGTGATCCTGTCCATCTCTGGAAGGTGGGGCCTCTGTCTCCTCATCCCAGTATCCCCCGCTTATGGTCCAGGCTGCATGCAGTCATTGCTCAGTGCATGCAGGAATGAACCCCAGCATGTGTCTTCTACATGCTCACACTCACAGTCATGTATCAGGGTCCTTTAACAGCTCCTGGCCGGACGGTCCACCCTGTCCTGTCCCCTGGCCCACTCCAGATGCCCGTGTGGTGTCTGAGGTCCCACTCCTCTCGCCCACGAGGGTGACATCTGTGCTCCATTCTTTCTTGCAGGTTGCGGGGGCTGCGGCGCAGAGATCAAAAACGGCCAGTCCCTGGTGGCCTTGGACAAGCACTGGCATTTGGGCTGTTTCAAGTGCAAGACGTGCGGGAAACAACTGAACGCGGAGTACATCAGCAAGTGAGTGGGGTGCCCGCTGGGCCTGCCATCAGGGGTGGGGCAGGGTCCCCCTGTACCCGCCTTGTGCCCTCCACCCTTCTCCTGCCCTCCTCCTGGCTACTCCGTCTGTGTGAGGCCAGGAACCCCATCCTGGACCGGTGCGTTTGCCCGTGGCCAGTGCCCTCTTGCCGCCAGCCTCACTTCCTTGACGTGGTTTGCAGAGACTCCCATGCCGATTCTGTTCACTGACACAGAGATGTTAGCGCTCCCATCTTTAACCTTGTGAAACACCTCCCCACGCCGCCCCTGGGTGTCACCCTCCCTGTGGAACTGCCCCCTTTGCTGGTGCCCGGAGACCCTGCAGAGTAATAAGTGGACATCAGCTGATGCCAGCAGCATCAGGGCAGCCCTGTCTCAGGTGTCACACGTGTAACGGCACAGCCCCACGCGCTGTCTTCTGCTCCCGCTGGCCAGCACTGTCTCCCTGACGTGTGGTCAGGAGGCGGCGGTGAGAGAGCCTTCTGGAGATCAGGGCCTGAACAGGGCAGCTGGTCTGCCAGGCAAGGGTGCATTTTAATCCTGGAATATCAGGAACTGAGAAGTGTAAGCCCCAGACAGCACAGGGGAGGGAAGAGTTAGGGGGTGGGCTCAAAGGCGCAGAGTGCAGAGCAGCTCCCTCCTGCAAGTGAGGGACTTTTTTGGCAACTTCCGTCAGAGACTATGCTCGCTTCTGATGCTCCGAGGGAACAGAGCCATCACAGGAGACGAATGGGTTAAAAAAAATACCTGCAATAAAACTGTACAGAATGAAACACACGTACACGCGTGCACACACCACAGGCACACACTCGTGCACGTGAGAGTGCATGCCACACCGAGGGAATCCGAATCAGGTGGCTGCGTGATCCCATGTCCATTCCCCAGTGGACCTGTGCTTGGCTGCTGTGAGATGAGACCACTGGGGGAACCTGGGGAAGCCCACACTGGGTTTCTCTGTATCGTTTCTTTCAAGTGCATGTGGATCTACAATCATCTCAAACTAAAACATTGTCACTGAAGGTCCCCAAACTGACATGAGCCTCTGTCCAGGCTGGGTCAGGCTGAGTGAGTGTCTGGCCACTGGGGCCAGGACCTGTTGCCTCTGTCACGGTGAAGGGAAGGAGTGAGTGACACAGAAGGCAGCCTGGGGGACTGGACAGAGCACTTAAAATAAAATAAAATCAGGCCCAGCCCCCAGCACACCGCAGCCCCGCTCACGCGCGGAGGTAGCTCACCCACGCTTAGCAGCCTCGGAACTGCCCCGATTCACGAGGAGGGTGTGGGCGTTGCCATGGGGACGTTATCGCTGCATGTACAGCCACTTGCAGGGGCGAGGAGGGGCCCGAGGTCAGGGTCTTTGACGGTGGGCCCTGAGGGCCCAGCTCACACACTCCCTCTCCTGTGGAAGGGAGGGTTGCTTCCTCCCTGACGGTGCAGCCCAGAGGCTGGGACCCAGCACCGGGTCGTTCCCCTCCTGCCAGCATCCGTGTGATTCACAGTCCAGAGCTTTGAGGAAAAGAGGGCTCTAGGCTCCCGACAGCTTGAGAAATTTTACCTTCCGCTGGCGGCTGTGCAAAAATCAAACCCAATCTGGGACTAACACTGCAGGCTCAGCAGTGCTGGGAGGGAGATGCCCAGGTTAATGGATGCTCTCCGCCGCACCTCCCACCATGCCCGTCTCCTGATGGGCGGGGCCTGGGGCCAGGTGGACAGCCTTGCTTAGCGGTGATAAGGACAGTGGCCTCAGCCACTGAGTGACAGGTGCCTGCCAAGCACTGGGCACTGGCCACACCTGGTCTTACTTAGTTCATGCTCTTATGTCTCCCATTTTACAGGTGGGGAAGCTGAGGCCCCGGCAGGTGAAGTGACCGCTGGGACTGGGCACTTGAGTGCAAGCCTGTGCACTTCACTGCTGCCCGCCAGCGCCTCCCCACGTGGAGCAGTAGCACCACCACGGAGCCCTCCTGCCCCGCCCTCACTGCCACTTGTCCTGCTGACCTCAGAATGATGCCAGTTGACTTTTAATGAGTTCCCACATTGCCAAATACCGTACAGGCCTTGCATCTGCATTTCCTTCCATCAGCCGCCCTGTAGACCAGCTGTTTCCTTGCAGTTCAGTTAATGGGGCTCAACATTGAAGCAACCAGCCCACGGCTGCCCAGTGTCGACTGAAATAAAGTGCCCAACCTAAAAGTTGAGTTATGTTTTATTCAGCGGACTCCCTGAGGGCTCGAGCCCGGGACACAGCCTCTCAGGCTGCTGTAAGAGACTGTTCCAAAGCACAAGGGAGAAGCCAGGATACGTAGGCATTTTTGCAACATAGACCAGGTAGTCGGAACATCAAAAGATTACTTTTCATTAAAGAAAACCAGATGTCTCAAGTTAAGGAATTTGGCACACCTCAGTTTCTCCACTTGTGAAATGGGATGATCTTTGTGGTATTTCTCGTGGGGCTGCTGTGATGATGGAGGGGGCCCTGCTGGCACCTCTGAGTCCCCAGTACATGCTGTTTGAGGGTCGTGGTGTTATCTGGAGCAGGGGAAGTGGGTGTTTCCCCCTTGGACATGGCCCTTCCCACTGGGGAGGGCTGTCATCGGAGCTTGGGGGTCCTCAGATGCCCCCCACCCATCCTGACTGCCAGCTTTGTTGCAGGGACGGGCTGCCCTACTGCGAGGCCGACTATCACACCAAGTTCGGGATCCGCTGTGACGGCTGCGAGAAGTACATCACGGGGCACGTGCTGGAGGTAAGCGCAGCCCAGACGGAATTCAGAGACGAGACGCAGAGGATAAGAAAGTAAAGTGGGAATTTAGTAAGGGGTGGATAGGACACTCTAAAGCAGAGACCAGGCGGGCTCAGGTGAGCCGGTGCCCTAAGTTTCTTTGGCAAGTTGGTTACATAGGGTGTAAAAATGAGTGGACAGAATATTCATGGGGGAGGAGGGTTTGGGGTCATATTCTCTGATTTTTCATCCCAGCTCCACCTTCCCAAAGGAAGGAGGGA